TTGATCAAACCATTCTATTTCAAATATAACTGTATGCTATTAGCTGGTTTTAGATGACCCATACATATTCATGTAAATAAATTGATAAAATTTGTTTGAAACAGTAATGCATTTAAATGGAGGAATGCTAATTATGAAAGTTAAATAGATGTAATTATGCAAATGAAATATGCAAATAAGATACGTAGAATATATAAACGATGGATTGCTGTGACATTTTTAAAAATAATAACCAATGAATTATTAATTAATTCCTTTCATTAAATTTTAACATAAACTTTTCATTAGCATAAAATTATACAAAATCCAAGGAAAAAAGAGATATATGTATGAAATTATAGCTTATTGATCAATCTAAGAATTGTTAATAAACTTTTTAAAAATAATAACCGATGAATTGTTAATTAATTCCTTTCATTAAATTTTAACATAAACTTTTCATTAGCATAAAATTATACAAAATCCCGGAAAAAAAAACACACATAAATAAATTGGAATTAGAAATTTCATAAGTTGAAGAGTTAATGAATTTAAGGAAAAAAATTTATCGATTGAAATATTTTTTTAAATAACGCACGTCATTCATAACATACGTTTTTTTTAAGTAATCGAAGTATTTTTTAAGTAACGTGCGTTATTCACAAAGTACTTTAACGTACGCCATTCTACGTAATGTTTACTTGTCAATTTTACGACAATTTTTTTCTCTCGTAATATAATTCTGCTTATTTCAAGGCAATCAATAAATTATGGTTTTGTTTGAGTTTTTTGGCAAACCTTATCCTGAAATCATAAAGTGGATGAATTCTGGCAGCCATTATCCCCACCTGAAATGATGAAACGGATAAATTTGTACATTTTAAATCACATTTTCTTCCCATTTATGTATGTTCCATAACCAAGACTAACAGGATCAGGTTCATCCGGTTAACAGTATAAGGGTTCACCTGGTTAAGAGTATTAGGTTCATCTTGTTAATATTGCTTTTATTCAGTTTGCCTAATATACATCTTGCCAGATAATGAATATTAAGACATCTTGGACCTTACTTTCATATCAATCTAATAATTTTCTTGGCTCTCTTGAAGCTTTTAAAAGTATGCCATCATTTTCCTTTGTCTACTGTCTCTAAACATTTCCTATCAGTCTACTGTTTCCAATTTAATTAAATAATCTTCACCTTCCCATGGATAAAGCTGGAAGAGAGAACAATTTCTTACCAATAATCATTTTTTTTAAAAAAAAAGAAGTTTAAAATTCTTTTAAAATTGACTTTCAATTTTTTATTTAACATTTTAAAACTATTTGTTAGCATTTTATGTTTCAAAATTAATTTCTAACTTTTCCGCTTTAATTTTTCTTTTTTAAATGCTAACTAAGTATTTCACTAATTGATTAATGCTTTTATGGGTGATTTTTCTTAAAAATTACCTCAAAAATGTGCTAAATTCAAAATATTTTAAAAAATGGAATTGTTTTCTAGCATTTTCTAATAAATATTTTATGGTAATAATAATAAAACACTGGATTCATCTCATCATTTCACTTATAGCACATGACAATTGTTTAATCAGAATTAGTCACAGATAAATGACACTTTGATTTGTCATTCTCAATTTTGCAATTATTTCTATATTTATTTTAAATAGAAATGAAAACAACAATTTTAGATATGTGAAAGAGCTCAAACTACATAGCTAATTAGATTTCATTTTTCACATAGCTAATTAGATATGCTAATAATACTTTATCTAAAACTTACGTCGTCTTAAATTACGTGTCAGTTTTACTGCAATTAATTTTAGGCAAACACTATAGCGGCTAATTTTTTTCTAAACAAATTTACAATGAAATCAATCGTAGCATAAAATAATTTCAAGAATTAAAGAAAAATATACTAATTTAATTAGCTAAAATTCGTACATATAAAACTGCTAAATTACCATCCTTCTATTTTATCATTTCATAAAAAATTTATCAATCAGTAATAACCAGAAAGTTTCGTTCCTTTTGTTTTGTCGCTAGTAATGACCGCAAAATTTTGTTCTTTCTGTTTTTGCCGCTAAAGTAATGACCATAAAATTTCATTCCTCATATTTTGCCATCAATAATAACCACAAAGGTTTTATTGCTTCTGTTTTATCACCAGTAATGACCACAAAGTTTCATTGCTTTGGTTTTGTCATCTTTCAATGAATTTATCTATCAGTAATGATTATAACGTTTTATTTTCCTTCTAATTTCATCCATACAAAAACAATTACATCAAACACTTAACATATTTCATATTCTTCCATCCGCGCATTTTGTCCTCTCTCGAGTAATGAAACTTTATTCAATCAGAATTGAGAAAGATATTAGCAACAATCTTAAGGGTTATTTTCTTCTTTTTATTATTCAAAAAAAAAAAAACTTTCAAAATCTTTATTTGAATAATTTTCAATGTTCATTGTAAGTTAGGGAAATAAATTTCTGTTGTTGAATTGTCATTTGCATACATTTAATTCAATAATTAAATTTTTCATTCAACACTTAAAATGTCAAAAACAATTGTTTATGATCACAAATGTTTATCCTACTTTTAAATTAGATTATTTCTAAAATGTTTTTCTATTTCCTGAATTTCACAAATATCATTTCTGCTAATGTTAAAGCAATGATTGTTAACATATTCTATCACTCTAAATAGTTTTAATCTTTGAAAACCTTTTTTTCTTTTTTTTTACCTTTCCTAATATTTGTTATTATTTAAGGTGCTAGAAATTTTCGTCTTTTTTTTTTTAACAATGCAAACTACTAATTAATTCATTTCAATTTAAAATTTGAGCAAATAATTTATCATTTTAATTTAATCTCTGTCCAATAATTTATCATTTCAGCTGAAAATTTATATCCAATAATTTATTATTTCATGAATTTATTACTTATTTTTTTGAGCAATTCTTTTCTTTTTTTTAATCAGCAAAGTTTTAGAGCAATATTTTAGACGAAATTCTTTGACTTATTCGTAATTTTTGAGGCAAAAAAAAACGAGATTCAGGTGTGCAATAAGTTAAGGTAGATTCATAAGGGACTCAGGTATACGATAAAGTAGAATATTTGAATCCTTTAATTTACAGTAACCGTTTGTTATTTCATTGTTCAAAACTTTTTCAAAATAATTTTATATTTACAGCAATCAATGTTGCATCTAATTCGTTCTTACTGATAAATATTCGCATCGGATGGATTTATGGTTCACTAGCTAAATGACCGCAACAAGTTGGATTGGTCAAGAAATGATACTGCATTAAATTACTGACCATTACAATGTCCCGCAAAATTTGTAATAGTAAAAACATTGTTATCAACAAATTACTTCTTTCTCAATTCCTAACTTGATTATTTCAAAAGAAAAAATTTGCATAATTATAATGAATGTCGATTATCGTGACACTTGGTTACGTCCTCATCAAAAATCACTCTACTCCGGAACGGTACGATATTTTATGCAAAATATAGTGAATTTAAGTTTATCATTAATACTACAGTGATATCATTGTTCAATAAAGACAAATACAATCTTATTTTTACATTTAATTAAAATAGGAATTTGAAATTAAATTAGTCACAAAAGATTACAAATCATATTTGCTTGCAATTGTAGTAATGAGGATATTGACTTAATTATTGGATAAAGAAAAGGTTAAATAATTTTAAATATAATTAAAGCATACATTATTACCCAATGAACGTTGCTCATTGCGACAATGGATTTTTAAAGAAAATATCGATGAAAAGTATACACAACTTAAACAGTATCGTCTAATGCAAGAAATTGGACAGGTAATATACTCAATATGACATTTTGTATTTGCTAAATTTCAATTTTAAATTTTAATTTACTTGATATTCAAATTTTAATTAATAGTATGAAATAAGTTGTTAGAAAATTTTCGATTTATAAAAATTTGTTTGGCGATTTTTTTTTTTGTCAACATTTCCTTCACGACAAATTGTCAATGATAAATATTTGCTTCGGATTTGAAAGGTTTCTTTATTGTTTATAAATTGCTTATCGTTTCGTAAAATTATTTTTACAATTTCAGGGTTCATATGGTATTGTGAAATTGGCTTATAATGAAGAAGACAAAAATTTATATGTATTACTTTTCTAAAACATTTAATTTAAAAATCATAAAAAAGAAATTTAAAAGAAAAATAAACCAAAAAACAGAACAAAAATACTATAAATATGGAAATATAAATAATAATTCATAAAATTTTTATAGAAATTAACTTTTAATAATTAATTTATGATAAAATTAGAGAGAAAAAAGTGGTTTTTACAAATTCCAAGGATTTTTACCTTGTAAACTTTTTGTAAAATTATTCATTTTTTTGTAAAAATTGAAAAATGAGAAATATATTAGAACAGAATTATAAATCACAAAGTTTACTCGAAGTGGTCATTAAAGTCATGGAGGATTTTTTATTCTTTAAAATTTAGCAAATAAAAATTCCATGAATAAGATAAATTTTAATTCAAGCCTTTTACTATTTCAATTTTATTTAATTTTTTTTTTTTACTAGGCGCTAAAAGTGCTCGATAAGATGAAATTGATCAAAAATTTTGCATGCTTCCGTATGTTACACATTTTTTTTCCCCTGTAAATGTAAAAAATACCGTAATGGTTTGATTAGTTTGATTTCTTCTTTAGGTCCTCTACCAATACGTCATCGGATCAATACCCAATCACCATTACGATTACCACATGATCCTATGCAAGCTGTACAACGTGAAATTGCAATTCTGAAAAAGCTCAATCATCCAAATATAGTGAAACTTGTTGAGGTGAGTACCACAGTTGTCTAAATACAGTGAAACATGTTGAAGTGAGTACCATAATTTATCCAAATACAGTGAAACTTATTGAGGTGAATACCATAGCCTTCTAAATACAGTGAAACTTATTGAGGTGAGTACCACAGCCTTCTAAATACAGTGAAACTTATTGAGATGAGTACCATAATTATCCAAAATACAGTGAAACTTATTGAGGTGAGTACCA